GGCTCACCTTCTCTACCCTAGGAGCTTGGGATGGCGGTGGGGGAGCTTCCTTCCAGGTGCTGGGGCCAGCACACCTTCTCTGGCCTAGGAGCTTGGGATGGCATCGGGGGAGCTTCCTTCCAGCCTAATTTCCGTCAACACACAGCCGTAGTCTCTACCAACCTCCATCGTAACGCATCTCCGCACTGCACTCATTTAATTCTGAGATGCTGAGTTTCCTGGGTACTTGACAGTTGGCAATAGAGGGCCTGTAAACTTCTCTTCATGGGATCATCTGGTCCTGCTTATTGTCCAGCTTATTCATGATTCCTGGAGTAGACGGTGTGGAAGCCTTCGAACGTGCTCACATCCTCATCACCCATCAGCTCCATTGCTTTACACCACTTGCTCACTTCTGTATGTTGAACCACAACTGGCTGATCACCAACTCAGGAGAAGCGCTCCGGATCTCTCCAATGGCTCCAGAGAAAGCCCTAACTGCCACCTTTCCAGCATCCATAATATGTCTTTTGGAAGAGCTTGGTAGGCCGGAGGTGCTCAGAGCAAGCATCATCCATTTCAGACTGAGATTTGGAGGGTCAGAGAGCAGAAACAACTTGTTTAAAGCCAAACCATGGTTTGTGGAGGAGATGGGCCTTGAACCCAGAGTTTTCTGGCTCCAAGTTCAATGAAACTCAAAGCCATTTGCTAACAAATCCTCTTTCAGTTTGCACATTTCGAAAGAGGAGACTTCAAATAGCTAAGACATTGAAAAGAGGGCCAATACCACCATAGTCAGAGAACTATATGTCAAAACATAAATGGGAAGCCACTAATCTGCTAATGGACTGTCCAGACTGAAGGGGGAAGGCGAGGCTGCTGAGAGTACTGCAGGCACATGTGCCAGCAGTGGGAGGAAAGGTGGCTTTCGCCTAGAAGTTACCTTCAAGCTGTTAACTTGTTTCAAAATTTTACATGTGAGTATTCTCTGGTCTAATGAGACTTTTGGACACAGATTATGTAGAGGGATGTTACGGTTTAGATCTAGAATATCCCCCAAAGGACTCATATAGCCAGAGGGGGGCTTTTAGAAGGTGACTGGTTAAAGAGGGGACTATACTCATCAGTGGATTAAGCCACTGCAGAGTTCAGAGCGGAATGTGTGACTAGTTGGAGTCCGAGCCGGAGGTCGGTGGCGTGGGTGTGGCTAGGAAGGGTCTATCTCCCTCCCTGGCTCCTCCCTTTGCTTTGCTTCCGGGCTGCCCTGATGAGAGCAGCTTTTTCCTCCCCAGACCCTTCCGCTATGCTTTTCCTGCCTTGGAGCCAGCCAACTACGAATGAAATCCTCCAAAACCGTGAG